TAAAATCCTTCATCCAGGATTAGAAAGGGCAAATGAAGATATTCTATACCGACACAATCTTCCTAAACTTAGAGAAATTTAATTTTGAATATTGAATATTATATTGCTCATATTTGTATTATATATATATATATCAATAATAAATAAACAAAACTCACGAGCCAAATCTCAGCTATTACAAAATGAGCATAATTTTTCCTATTACTTGTTATTGTCATGGATTTTAAATATTTGTTTTTTAATTTTAAAATATTATGCCGTACAACATCGCACGTGAAGAAATACTAGCGTTTGATTAAAATTCGACACATTTGTATGTGTATGAATAGACATGTAGCACACCCTAACATTACATTATTAATTTCCTTTTATAACTGATAATGATCCAAATTATTACAATAATGATGGGACAAGTAGCTAGAAAAGCCTTAACAACTGCCTGCAATCTAGTCAATTATCTCAAAAGCAAAATAAAAATAAATAAATAAATAAATAAATAAAAAGAAAAAGATTAGGTTAAGGTGTGATGACAGTGGAATGTCAATGAATTGTTGAACTGTCTTAAAAAAAGATGACTGTATATGTTAAGAAAAGATTGTTAAAAGTTTTATGCATGCATTTCCCAGCTTTCTGCTTACCTTATAAAAAAGAAAACACCTTTTTCTGTGTTTTTGCATGACTATTTAAATTGTATTTTAAGTTCAATTATTTATTTCAAATTATTATTTTTAATTAAAAATAAATAGATGATTTAATAAGACCATGTTTGATATTAGATATATGATGTATCATCAAATATTAAATGTTCGAATGAATTAAGGGTCTTACCCTCAAGCACTAGATTGCAAAATGAAAATAATATGATATTCATGATGAAAACCAAAGATAGACGGAATTAGCCCTTCTGGAAAAATTCCGATTTTTTTCGAAAGTGAAAAATTAGTTCCAATTCCATTGCAACAAAATCGAAAAAATTGGAAATTGGAACAAAAGAACTTGTTCTAAAAATCGGAAAATTTCGGATCGAAAACAGCGGAATTCGGAAATTTTCAATTTTTGCTCACCTTAAATATAAAATTCATAATAATATTGATATTTTAATTGTAATATTCGAAAAAAAAAAGAAAAATTGGAATTTTTTAGAATTATTTTCTGAACTTTAATCGAATCGGAAATCGAAATCTTGTATATATTCAAATTCTGGTTGAAATAATTTCGGAAAAATTGGAAGTCGCAATTTCGGAATTGGCATTAAAATTTATTGTTCCAAAATTGGAAATTTTGGATTCGGCATTGGCGGGAATCGAAAATTCCTTACTAATTTCCCTAAATAATATGTATGAAAGGCAGTCGAATTTATCAAAGCACACCTAAATGTTATAGTTAAATTAGGCATAACTGTTAAGTGTATATTTATACACTTAATTGTACCTTTTAATTGGAGCTTTTGATGTGTTTTTACGATAATTGGTGCTTAATATGGTTATTATTTGTATTTTAGGTGCAAATTGAAGAATTGACAACTTTTGGGGTGAAAACTGCAAATTCGGAGAAAAAGTGGGCCAAAAGTGAAATAATCAGAATTCAGAAGATTTGAAGACCGCGCGGCCGTGCGGGTTTTAAGCTTATATTTCACACGGCCGTCCGGATTGACGTAGGGGCGCAGTGAAGGAAGTTTAATTACACAAGGAAACCCGCCCTATTATATTTTTGCACCCTATTTAAAGGCCAAAAACACACAATTAGATGGATTTTTTATCTTTTACCTTTCATCTTTAATCTTTTGTTTTTATTTTTCATCTTTCTACACGCAATCAAGGAGTACAAGAACGAAGACGAAGACTTGACGACTCTTCATCATAGTTCTCCTCTTTTATTGTTATTTATAGCTTTTATGATTTTTCGTATTTTTATTATGCTTATCGTAGAGAACATGAGTAGCTAAGTTTTTATTCTAGGATTTTATTGGAACCCTATGTGGTAATTCGAACCTATTTTTTTACTTTTATGCAAGTTTAATTCTTCGATTATTTCTTCTATCTTGATCTTATTTAGCGCATGAACGTAGCTAATTTATGTTGCTATTTGTTATTGTTAGAATTGATTGACAGATCGTTTTAATAATTAGAACAGGGATAGAAGAGCCTTCGAGTAGTTTTTCACCGAATGTGTGTGTTAATTGCATGTATTATCGTAGACATACAGATAATACCTTAGGTAGCCGTTTACGAGACTTGTTATTTAATGCTTTATTTATACTAGGTTTGCATAGACATATAGTGAATCTTTTATGAATAATAGGCTTATAACGCAGCGACAGCTGGTTATGAGTAATTTCGTGTCTTGGGTTAATAATCAGAAATCGTAACTTGCATGATAGGAGATTAATTGGGTGAAGAATTATCGCATAGGGGGAAGATAAAATCCTAGATCCGTTTTATATTGATATTTTCTCGTGATTAATTGCTTTCTTAATTATTTTAATTTAATTAGTTAATTAATTTGACAACCTTGCGTAGGCTGGATAAAAATCACAATTGTTAGGATTTGGTACTTAGGATTAAATAATTTGCGTATTTCCTGTGGGATCGACATTCAACTCTCACGAGCCTACTTTACTACTTGTTTGCGATTCGTACACTTGCGTGTTGGTATTTAGCACCCAACAATAACACTAGATGACTAGAATGGATTTAGAATAAAATAATTATTATATATTAAAAAAACATTTTCCCAAAGAAAATAACGTAAAGGGTAAACCACTGTGTGCATGTGAAGGTTGACAAAATAGTGGTTGCTTTTTGGGGGAGTGGTTAATTAAGAAAGTTGGTATAATTAATTATAATTAATTAATTAAAATAAATTTGCTTTGCCAACAGAGTAGTTAAGGGGAGCCACCAGCCTATGAACATTCTATAATCCTACCTGGAATTCCATATATATGACGTTATTGATAGGATCGGCAATTATGTCAGGCCTAACTGAAACTCAATGGCTCAATCCAATTATATTAGAGTCGATCCTAATTTTTAGTGAGTCACACCGAATTTGAGCAATTTTATTAAACTCAATTCATTTATGAGCTGAGTTTTAGCCTACTATGCCTCAATTCAAATAAGGTCCTCCTGATTAAATTAATAATTAAATATATAATACATTTATTATTTAAAAAATATGGCTCAAGATATAAAATATATATCATAACAAATTCATATATTTAAAATACACATGTTGATAACTTTAATTTTTAGAACTATTTGTAATTTTTGCCTTTTCTTAATTTAATTTTATTATTTTTAATTTTCACTTGTGTCATGTGGGCAGAGAAGAAAATGAAAATACATAAGGAATTGGAGTTTTCAGTCCCTACATCACCTCTTTCAGCCAACTCTTCAATTTGGACAGCTCCATAGCCATGGACCATTGCCCTAATTGCTCTCTCTTATTTTACATATATTCATTTTTTATTAAATTTATATTATTATTCCCTATTTCTAGTCCTTGAAAATGTTGCATTTATCATTTATTGAATAATACAATAATGTGACGGTTATAGGAAAATATTTGTTTTAATTTGAAGATGCTACATACGGTGAAATACATCGGGTAATTCTACACATAGTATGACACACACATCCATGTGTATGTGTATCCATGTATATGTGTGCTTAGTGAATATTTATTTGTATAAATCAGTGGTGCAAGACCAGCCAATGTATTTCACTAGGTGTAGCATCTCATATATCGGAAAATATTATATGTTACATAGTTATTTTCCATATTTTTTGACTTCGAAAATAAATAAGTTGCATGTAATAATATATTAACTATTTATGTCATGTGCACACTAAATGTATTTTGTTTTAAGGCCAATTACAACTACAATCATTGTGGCCATATATCACTTTATACAAGTGAAAGAGGAACACTCCTATTTTTCATGTGTCTTATTTGAAAAATGTAGACAAAGCATGACAAATTATATGATTACTATGTTTTCTCATGTTCCATTTGAAATTTGAACTATAGTCCAAACCCATGATGCCATCCAATATCTAATAGGAAAATAAAATGATGAGATACATAGAAAATTAATATGGTAAAATCTTCATATATATATATATATATATATAGAACGAATAGTTCAAATTCATAATAATAAATCCATCAGACTTGTTTTCGTATGAATCTAGTATGTGATACGTTTCAAATCGTAAACTCTCATCATGACTAAGTTTTCCTTAGTCTTGTGATAAGTAATTTGAATTCATCTCACTTGGAGTTATTTAAAATTTCTTCATGAAATCTTCCCATTCAAATTGAAATGCAAAAATTACTTCAAATTAACAAGCAATATGATTGTTCAATTTCATGTACATAGATTGTACAATCATGGCTAACATTTATACACACACACACACACTGGATTTTCCCTTGAGATGTTAATGGTGGGACACAATTGGAATATGCAATTATGGAACAATATAAATATGTCAAATTATCACTAAAATAGTATTTTGCTCATAATGTATAATGTGCATGAACAATAACAATTATGATTCATATTACCAAAAAAAAAAAAATTACGAGGGCAATTTGGTAATAAACCACATTGTCATGCCCTTGAACAAAAAGCAGGTAATAAAACTAACACAAAAACTTCACATGCACTCATTCCAATTATTATTCTTCCTTCACATAATTTACAAAGACAAAAAAATCATTCCATTTTGGATATTACCAAACGCAATTTCTCTCTCTCTAGTTTCTCTCTCTAGAAGAAGAAAAAGTTTACTTGGTTCTCCAGAATCCATCGCTGGATATGATATATGATCTACTCGTCTGTACAATCCCTAAATCCAACCGTTGGATTCCTTTCTCCCCCATCACTTTTGTTGTTTTCTTCCCTATTGTGAATCTGGATAAAAAACACACACACACACACAGTGTAACTAACTACTACTACTACACTTTCTCTACGACCTTCGTTCTGAGCTGAAACATATATTTTAATTTATTTTTTTGTATGCACGTTTTGCTCCGTCGTCTATGGCGGATATCTATCGAGAACACGGCGACATCGGGAACAGTGGCCACGGCAACGGTGAAATTAGCCGGCACGAAATTCAATCCGCCATTGCCAAAGCTGTGGAGCTCAGAGCTCTCCACGCCGCTCTGATGCTGGGAAACAGCCCCGCCGCCGCCGCCTCCGCCGCCAGTATCAGGTTCCCGTCTCCTTCCCCAATTTCTCGCCATGCTTCGCATTTATCTGCCCAGGATTACCCTGTTTTCACCCCTGTAAGTATTCCCCCCTTTCCCTATTTTTTTTTTAAATTAAACAATTGATTAATCAAGTAATTAGGTTTGATTTTCAGCTCCATTCTGAGATTAATCTGTACCTCTTCACATTAATTAATTTAAGCTATAGAATAATATAATTCAGTTTCTGTGGCTGAATTAGGCGATTTTCATTTATTATTGTACCATTAACTGCAAGTTTTCTTCAATGCTGAACTGACATATCCGGAATGTTCTACAGAGTTACGACGACGAACCGTTGCCGGGATACCAACAGCAAATTGCAGCGGAGAACCGAAACTACTCCGAGAGTTGGGGGGCCCACACCTTAGACGAAACCGATTACAGAACAACAAATGGATCTTCGAGAAAAGCATTCCCGTATTCGGATTCGACCAACTTCGATCCTCATGTATGCCCTGCAGCAGAAGATCAAAACTCCACAGTAGGTTCTAATGCTTATAACAACAGCAGCAACACTAATGCTGCTCTTCACAAAGCTTCGCCGGGTCCCGATTATTATTCCAAGTCGAGGCGAAATAGCATGGGCGACATTCAATCGATTTCGTCCTGCAACAATTGCAAGCCAGCTGTAATAATAAGTGCCGATCCGGACGGGCTCCACAAGAACGGTAGAAAATCGAACATTGTTGTTCCGTTAACGGATTCGCACTCATCTCTTCACCCACAGCCGAGAAACAAGGGGCTCGGACTCTCGTGGCTGTTCCCTAATCTGAAGAAGAAGAAGAACAAGAACAAGAATGAAGATTATTCGCCCTCGGAAGAATATTATCCACAAATTCTCAAGAAAGAGCTAATGGAAGCGAACGAGAGCAGAGATGCGGCTTTGAATGAGGTTTCGGAAATGAGGTCTTCGTTATCGGAGCTTAATCAGAAGCTGGAGTATCTCGAGACTTACTGCGAAGAACTCAAGAAGGCCTTAAAACAAGCCGTGCAATTCAAGATTTCCGATCAATTGCCCGTCGAAAAGCTCGTAAATATTCCTCACAAGAGTGGAAATGGGGAAAACTCGATGCCCGTGAGCGAGGAAGTAATGGTTGAAGGGTTCTTGCAAATAGTATCGGAAGCGAGATTATCGGTGAAGCAATTCTGCAAGACTCTAATCGGACAAATCGAAGAAACGGACCCCACTTTAATCGACAACTTGAACTCGCTCCTTCAACCGTACAAACTGTCCCTCGACTCGAAATACTCGAAAGCAGTGCTGTACCATTTGGAAGCCCTCGTAAACCAGTCGTTGTACCAAGATTTCGAGAACCCCATTTTCCAGAAAAACGGGGCAACAAAGATACTGGACCCGCAGCAAGACCGCTTAGCCCGATTCCAATCATTTGTTGCTTTGAGGAATCTCAGTTGGAACGAAGTGTTGAGAAAAGGGACCAAGTGTTACAGTGAGGAGTTCAGTAAGTTCTGTGATCAGAAGATGAGTGGGATCATCGGGTGTCTAGGGTGCACTAGGCCGTGGCCGGAGCAGCTGCTTCAGGCGTTTTTCGTCGCGGCAAAATGCATATGGCTGCTCCATTTGCTGGCGTTTTCGTTTAATCGGCCTTTGTGTATTTTGAGAGTCGACGAGAATGCGGTTTTTGAAGGGAACTATATGGAGGATGTTTTCGGTGATAGGCAAAGAACACAGGGTGCTCCGAGCAGGGTGAAGGTTATGGTGATGCCTGGTTTTTATGTGCTGAATACAGTGCTTAGGTGCAAGGTTCTCTGCAGGTACAAATCTGTTTCCTAATTAGAACTACTGTCATTTTTTCTTATTAATTTTTATTTATTTATTTTAGTTTTCATTGTAATTTCTATTTTGTTGTTGAATATTTATTTATTGCTTAGAAGGCTTGTGTTTAGGTTTATGAAAAATATGAAAATGTATGTGGCTTTATTTATTGTACATATGTGGGGAATTTCTAAATATTTTTTTTCGATAAGTTATTTGAAACCATTCCCCAATACCAGAGGTTAGAAATCGGAAGGATCGAATCGGAATAATGATATTCGATAAAATTCTAATTTTGTTTTTTTTTTTTCCGAAAGTGAAAGCCAACACTATTAGACACTATTAGTGCAGGACAATCATGTGGTGGGTGGGCCTAGTGGCAATCACATGTAACAAAATTAGATAAGGCCCACAAATGGTAATGGGCTCATCATGTTATTCTTTTTGTTTTTCATATTTTACTATTTAAAATTTTAACTATATATTTAGTTTAGTCCATTTTCATCACAAGTATATTTTACTTTTATTGTCAAAATTGATCTTAAAACCCACTCATTTCTCATTTCCTGCACATGCCAAATTTGTTCAGAGTTCAATTTTATTTGGCTATTGCAAGTTTGTCATACATCATTTATACCGACGTAGAGCGAGTTAAGTTGAAAGTTTACCTAGTGAATTTATATACTTAATAGTTAATACTTGATTCCAGAATCTTTTATATATATATATATATATATATATATATATATATATATATATATATGATGTGGTAAATATCGTTTATGTTTCAATAATATCATATCAATTTTACACGTCATTTTCCTAGTCAAAATTCGAGTGAGCGACGTATGCATAAATCAATAAATATTCCCACAACTTTAATATTTTGAACGATCAAAATGTAACTCATTGGCGAAATTTTGTCACCCGATACCTAATCTAGCTAATTCAAGTGGAATTGAAAAATTAACTCAAAGGGCTACAATTTTCGTAGTCTCAGTATTACTAAAATCAGACTAGAAAAGGATCATAATCATGTTCAACGTCAAAAACGGGAAAACACCGATTCTCTCCCTTACGATCTCATCATCCGCTTAGTCGAAGCCACCCCTTCTCTCATACCCCCTTTCCGAGCACTACTCTCCCAATTGATCGACGCGCACGGTGGCCAAAAGCCACCCTGAGTCATATCGGACTTCATGTTTGGATGGGCAGCTGACGTGGCCCATGAATTCGGTGTTTTCCATCTGATTTTCAGTCCCACCGGCGGGTTTGGGATGGCTAGTTACTGTTCGGCGTGGCTGAATTTACCTCACAGGTTCACTCGCGCCGCGGAGTTTCTGCTCCCCAATTTTCCCGAAGCTGGAACAATTCATGTTACACAATTGACCCCTGCTATGTTGGCTGGAGGAGACAACAACCCGCTCACCATCTCCCAGCACATGAATTATCAGTTATGGCTGAATTCCGACGGTCTTCTTCTCAATACCGTTGAAGAGATTGACAATCTTGGATTAACGCACTTCCGGCGTAAATTAGGGCTTCCAGTTTGGGCAATCGGGACTCTATTCTTATTGGAAGAGGACAGAGCAAGGTTGACAACTATAAATATCTTTCGGCTCACAGAGCACGATCTCAGCTTCACAAATAACGAAACTAGCCAAAGCGCTAGACGAAATTCGCCAGAGTTTCATATGGGTAGTGAGGCCGCCGCTAGGATTCGACATAAAAGCAGAGTTCGTGGCGGAAGAATGGCTGCCGGAGGATTTTTTTTGCAGAACATCCGCCAAGAAAACCGAGGGTTGATTATATCAGCAAATGGGCCCCACAACTGAAGATTCTTGCTCATGAAACCGTGGGTGCGTTCATCAGCCATTGCGAATGGAATTCTTTGCTCGAAGCGACAAAATACGGGGTGCCGGTGATTGGTTGGCCGATGGGAGCCAATCAATTCTACAGCGCAAAGTTCTTGGTCGAAGAGGCCGGAGTTTGCATTGAAGTTGGTAGAGGGACGAAATTCGACGTCCCGAAGGAAGATATTTTGGAGAAGATACAAATGGTGATGGGCGAAAACGGAGATGGAATAAGAAAGAGATGTGTTGAGATCAAGAATATTATTACAAATGCCATTAGAGATGAAAAGAGTTACAGGGGATCCTCTGTTAAAGCTGTGGTAGAATTCTTTACTGCTGCATTATTTAGGAAGGGGAAGATAATTTGAATGCAGTGCTTAATTATGTGCCGATAAACGTAATCAAGAGTGTACAGCCTAGTTAATGACCAGAAATCGAAACACCAAACAGTCTCAAAATTCTCGACTTTGCAGTACAATTCACCAGAAAAAAAACAACAGCAACCAAGGGATTTAAGAAGCTTCCATGGACAAAACAAGGAGTAAAAACCACAGATAAAGCATACGTACATTCATAAGTACAATTCGTCGAATAAAAAAGAGCATCCCAGCAAAGTAAAACTCATTTACATGTAACAGTCATGGATCTACAACAGTACAAAGTTAGGGCCAAACCATTGTGCAAAGAATGATAACAATGCTGATTAAGCTTTGCATCTGAATAATAACAAATTAAAGTTTAACTAGCATTAGAAAGATGTTGAGCTAACTGGTGAAAGCCTTCCAGCTGAGAGCCGAACGCTCGTCTGCCTTCTCGAAAAACTTTTTTTCTTGCCCCTATAAAACTTTTTGCAAAATAAATTATTGAACAAAATGAGTCTTACCAATTCACTAGTCGTGAAAACGAAATGAACCCGAAACCAATTCTTCTTATCTGAAGTATATGCGTCTAACCCCTCTCTTTCAAGACGCTTCACAGCATGTCAAAACCTCGTTAAGGTTCTTCGCTTTGCATCATAGAATTTTGAGGAGATGATGCGGTTCAAAGGGCAAAACAATAATTTCACTCACAAAACGTAGGACCCATAAATACCACGGACCAGCAACCAATAACAGCTTATGAGGCGAAGTACTTCATCAGTTCATCAAAGTTAGCTTCATCAACCGCATTGTCATCAAAGTCAAAGTCATCAGTATCCAACGCACTCGTGCCATCGAACTGAAGATTAAACGGACTGTATCCTGGTAAATCAGGCGACAAACTATTTAGAGGAGATGGAAACTCTTTCACAAACTGTGGGAAACCTCCTTGCGGGATATTGGTTTCTGCTGCAGGCAACACCGGCAAATGGAATCCCGATTCCTCTTGTCTATACCGCATCTCATTTAATCCCGCCTCGGATTGCTGTCCTTGATGACTCGAACCAACAACAACAGCTGTTGTTGTTGGATTATAATATGGATAAGCCAATCCATGATTATACCCGGGATTCTGAGATCCGTGTGGAAGAGTTGAATCTTGAATTCCAGGTTGCCATACGGTATTTTGGGGTCCAAGATGCAATGCAGAATCTTGCGGCGCGTGAATCACATGGGAACCAAAGGTCAATAGGTCGGCGCTTTGAGCCACAGCGGAAGGCAAGCGCTCGTTATCCAGGGGAATATTCCCAATGGGGACAGCATCTGAAGGAATCGAGCAGAAAATGTTCGGATTAGGTTCCACCAAGCCGGGTTGTAACTGAGCATTACTCTCGTGAGGTCTCATAGCTGTTACTGCTTCCATCTCCGGTATGCTCTCATTAATCAAGAACTCAGCAAACTGTATACTGTCATGATTTACATCCATTACCACCATGTCTTCAGTTTCATCAAGTGGATCTTTGTTGAGAGATGGAACTTGCGTGCTCGATTTCTGATGTCTTCTTTTCCTCGGCCGGTCACCTGCTTTTTTTTTCTCTTTGACCCCTTTTGGTGCAACACGATCCTGAGGCTCCAAAGGTACAACAACAACATCTGCAGATTGATTTCTCCGATCATCTTTCGACGAAACAGAACCCAGCCCATTATTAACCCCATCTACATCATAATCACTATCGCTCTCAACAGAAGGTCTCTTCTTACTATTTCCACGACCCTTTGACGGTGCCTCACTAACGCCGGATGAACCATTGTCGCTGCTCGGTTGACGAATTAGGGCTTCCTCCCTGCTCAAAACACCCAACCATATTAAACTTTCTTTAGCAGTCATCTTATCCTGTAAGCACTTAGATTGCCTGATTAGTTTTCTGATCTTTGCAATATCGGGCGACATATGCTTTATAACAGCAGATAAAACCCCAACTTTCCACATCTTCTTCAAATCATGAGGCTTCTTATACGGAGGAATCATACCCTGTGGCAACCCTAGCCTCAACCACCAGTCTTCGTTTCCAGTTGGCCACCAAGGTGGCGGGACCCCCTTATCCAGTGGAAACTTCCGCTGAGGCGGATCACAGTGTTGCATCAAAGAAGATAAAAGGGACCCTAATGTAGCATCTTGTAAGTCTTGAAGAACATTCTGTGAATTGCCATTGTGATTGCCATCTCCCTCTGCTAAAGAAATGCATTCGGCCTCGTATTTTGCAATAGCCGCAGGGCCATTTTTGTCAAACTTCACTTTCTCTTTCCACCAAGCTCTTATATTATCCGATGCACCGCTAACGGGCTTACCCTTCTCGGGGATAATGCCGTACACAAATCCACGGGCCTTGCAAACTTCCATGAGCTTCAACATGTACTTCAAGATACCATCTTGGGCTCGTGCCATTTTCTTGCGGCGGGCTTGGTCGGTTGTGGACTTGGCCTTTTGCTTCTCTGCAGCTTGCTGTATAGCGAGCTTTTGCCTTTCTTTGATTCTCTTGAGCTTTACGCGATCTTTCCACATTCGCTTCTCCAATTCTTCCGCATCGATCTCCTCGTCGCTTACATCTTTATCCTCTATGTTGTCATCACCTCTTATTTCGTCAACTTCGATATCCGAACTGTCGCACAAAGTCAATTAAAATCAGAAGGAAATATACACACACACACACACACACACACACACACACACACAATGCAAATTCAACATAAATGCTTCCGGCTCCTATTCAATTCAATCAAAAAAAAATTCTTCTTCAGCAAAAGCACAAACCAAGCAAAACCTAATAACTAATTTTTTCAGAAATTTGCAGAGGCAATCAGGAAATCGATCACCCCTCCGACCTCCGACCATCAAATCATACCACACCGATATAAATCCATGCCCGGATTAATTGTACAGCCTCGTAAATAGCATAAGTCAATTATTTAAAAACAAAAAAAAAAACAAAATCTTTCTCACAGCACACAAAAAATTATCGAAAAAAGGGGATAGAAAATTCAATAAGGAGAATAATAAAATCTTCAATTTCTTCAGTTTTTGGGCAATCAGAGAGAGAGAGAGTAATCAGACCTGATATCAATTCCTATATCCTCCAGCATAGCCATATCGAATTGATTTCTAAGCCCTCCCGAAAACCCTATCGAGAATTCGGAGATCTTCTGATTTGGGAATAAAACAAAAAGGGTAGAAAAACGAAGACGAAAAATTGATGAAAAAAATTAAAAGTTGGGGAAAATGATTTTCAGAGGTGTAATGCAATATTTGTGGACTGTGTGTGTACGGCCGCGAGAGAAGGGGAGAGTTTTTGTGTGCGCGCGCGTGGAGGAACTCGCCCCCTTCATATACAACTTTATGCGACTCCTTTTAATCTGATTTAGAAAATGCGATTTTGGTTTAGAAAAGTAAAGAACTGTATAGTAAGCACATGAGAGAATATCACACGCCCCCCTTATAAAAGGTCAAACACCGAATCTAGGGGCGCGAGCAATAATAATTACAGATTACTCGAAAAACAAAGAAGCAATAATAATTACAGAAATACCATAAATGGGAAATCACCAAGCAGTAAAATATTATTTAAATTTTTTTTTTTAAAGAAATCTGTATATAAATATATTATTTTATTTCAATAATGAACCAATTATTTTTTAACCATAATCGTATTTATGGTAGATGACGTCAGTAACTAATATTGGTGCACGTTAAAATACAACATTCATATTTATAGATAGACCCTCCGTGTTATTCCGAAAGTGCAAAAAATACTTTATGATAAAAACATTAGCACGTAACACCATATGTTGTGTTTTATTTTGTCGTTCCTTATATCAAATTTAGCTGTTGACTTGTATGGAAAGACGAAATTACACTTATATTTTTAATAATAGTATTTCAATTTTTTTTAAAAATATAAATATAAATTATTAATAAACCAAACAAAAAAGAAAATATTATCTCGCCATCTGCATAAAATTCAGAAAAAAAAAAGAAGATAAAAAATAAATTAATGATATTTTTAATTTAATGGATATTTGGGTCTTCGCATGTAAAAAAAAACATTCTCAGTTGCAAGTAGGCGAGTGTAGTGCATGAATAGTTCGCAGAGACTTTATTAACTTTGACTAAATTTTATAGCAACTTTTCATAATTTTTTAATATAGGGTTTATTTTGACAATTATAAATTACACAAGAATGATAAATACTAAAACTCCATTTGTAGGGTGTAGTTGAATTAAATAGCTATCAATGAGGTCAACCCCAAATGGCTACATTAAAAAACATTAATTGTTTTGGTCAAATTCATAAAAATATACGTGCTTATTTTTTCTTATAACAATTGATTACTCACAAAAACTATTTGATTCGTAATGCTTGATAGAGAATTATCCAGTTAAATTTCTATAAATTACTGTAGTTGATGGAGTTAATATTTTTTATTGATTTAGTGAAACACTGAATTATTGAACTAATTATTTATTACATTTTTACTGATTCCGAATCCAAATAAATTATCGAGGTTCTACCTTAATTAGAATCTGTCATATAAATTAAATCTTAAAAAGAAGAGGTGCAAGATAGTACTAAATTCTAATAATCTAATACGAACTCGAATCTAATAATTATGGCTTAATTCCACTTTGCACCCTTGAAATATACTATTTTGGCACTTTGCACCCTCGAAAAATAATAATAGCACTTTGCACCCTCAAAACACAATAAATCATTCACTATGCACCCTCAGTTGAATAATAAAGGCAATTTTATTTTTCATTGGTGTTTTTCTTTTTGGGGTACAAAATAAAAAAAATTGTTGTTTTCTTGAACCTCAAACCTAATTTCGAGCGGACAAAGTGCGAAAAAATAAAAATTACACCGGATTATTTTAAAAAAACTACATTATCTTACAAAAGAAAAATAAAAAAAATAATCTTTTATCACTAAATTATTCGATTGTGGATCTTTTATGTCACTGTTTGTAAAATATTAGGTGAAAATATTTAGAAGAAAAAAGAATTTTCAGATAACTTGATAACGTAATAGCTGAATGATTTTTTTTCGTAAAGTATTTTATTTTGATAAAACAATATAATTTTTAAATATGTTGATGGAATGTATTTTTATTTTTGAACTTTATAGTTTCAAAATGATTGATGAATAAAAAAAATATTTGACATTTGGCATCCTAAAAAAATATCACTACAAATATTAAATTTATATTTTTTAGCTTTAAAAAATCATTTGGGGTGCATTATGCATGATTTATTGTATTTCGAGGGTGCAAAGTGCTATTAATTTATTTCGAGGGTGCAAAGTGCCAAAATGGTATATTTCAAGGGTGCAAAGTGGAATTAAGCCAATAATTATGCAACATCCTCGTGAAACAAACAATCTCTTTAGTTCATACATAATTCTTAACTAAATATATTTAAGGATTACAATTTCTTATATCAATCTTGAGACATCAGCAATAAATATCAATCTTTCAACCGGGTTTTTTCATTTTATTTTTAATTATTTATATTTAATTTTATAGTAAACATAACATAATTCTTTAATCCTACACACACAACATATCAACACACACATATCACAAGCCGGTTTTTTTTTTCAACTGGGCAGTAAAAGAACGCAGTTTTAACCATTTTATACGTTTTTTTAAGTATAAAAACGACCATTTTGAGAAGAAAAAAACTCAATTTTCAGTTGATTCTGATATTATAGTTCAACCGGGCAAACCAACTAGTAGACTACAAACTATGAATAGACGATGTCACATCAATATAAAGTTAGAAAAGTAACTCCTATATATATATTGGGGATTTAAATTGAATATGATATGGAAATTGAAGTTTGATTGGGAATCCACTAATCTATGGTTTAATCAACACTCACAAAAAGTAGTAATGCTTCTCATAATTATTTTATAAATTTAGTCTACGAGGCTGATAATTAGAGATTAGAACAAACAGAAGTTTTGAAGTACCAAACATTATTGCACTCAAAACCTTAATTATAACTTCATATTTACTAAAATTTAAATAGGCACAAATGTTTTTGGAGTTGGAAAGAAAATCTGATTTGACAAAAATGCCCTCAAACTTTTGAAGTGTCCAGATACAATGGATGTAGTAGATCTTTGAAACTTTGCCTCTTGGCTCTTCGTAGTAACCAATAGAAATGGACTTATCCAAAGCCTTCTCTATTTGTGGTTTGTATTAGGAGGGTTCCTTCGATGCTACACCCGGTGAAAAACACCGGATGGGTCTTCTGCTGCCACGTGTTCTTTTTTTTATTTTTCTAAAACCCCTAAAGGTAAACCCTAGCGGGGAATGTATTATAAAATTAAAAAAGAGACACGGGCAGCAGAAGCCTAATCTCGAACGCCTTTTTT